TCTCATTCTTTTGAAGTGGACTTCTAGGGCTCGTGGATGCCCACATTAATTTAAAAAGGTGAATTGAAAAAGTCATGACATGAGAAGGTGAAATAAAATGAACTTCCTCTCTTGCAATTTGTTGTTTTTCAAAACTTCAAGATACTGCAAAGCATGACAGAAGTTCATTTATACTTTGCAATATGACAATCTGCACTTCAATACTGAAAATAAACATTTTTTAAAGTCCTTGAATCAGGCACAGCTATGGAGAGCATAATCTGCTTCTAATCTGGGTATCACACAGATCTTGAAAGCAAGGAAATATCAAGTAATTACTGGCTTACAACTTCTGCTATTTTATTCTGCAACATGAGAGCATGACAGGTTTTTACAGATTTGTAATTTCACCTAACTCCCAAAGAAGGACAAGTGTTTGGAATGCTAACCAACGTAGACACTACAAGTTCTTCTAGTATTATTATAATATATAATAATATATAAATTTTTATAAATACATATATTTAAAAAATATTAATATTTAATTTTTTAAATTTCCTTATTTAAATGTTATAGGTAAGAAACTAGCATATCAGAGGCAAAAGAGTAAAGTGGGGGAAAACACCCAAACATACAATAAGAGAAGTGTAAATTACACAAGATGTGGATGAAGGCAAGAGAAAAATCAAGTGAAAAGTCTACTTTGCATTGTTTCCATTTTACTTAAATGTGCATCTTTTTCAGTTAGTGATCTATTGGCTACTTACAAGAAAGAACGAACTCTAGTTTCAGACAGAAAAGTCATATATACTTGATAGATTTATGTGGTAAGATGGCTGCCATATTTAAAAGTGTCAGATCGGCATTTCCAATAATTCTCCCATTTCATTGTTTCCAGGAAGTATTAGCCTCTGAGCTCATTATTTAGATATTCCAGGGGCAGAATAAATGACTACTATCCTTTAGTCTGAAATACCGACAATGAACATAAAAATTCACTCAAAATTTCCTGTATGAGGCCTGGAGTTTCTTGGTAACAATATGTTTCTGTTTACTTGAAGACTTGAAATAGGGGGCAAGCCTCTTGCCGCCGCACGTGCCTCTCTGCGCCGGCGGGGAGCTCGGCCTGCAGCACGGCCGGGCCGGAGGGGGACGCAGGCACAACCCGCCTCTCCCGGCACGCGGAAGCTCCCCGCCGCTGGCCAGGCTGCCTGTCCTCCAGCCGGCTCCTCCATCCACCTCGCGGCTTTGGGCATTGCCCTGGAGCGGGAATGGAGCGGAGGGTTCCCTACCACACGCACCACTTCCAGCTAAAATATTCCTCCTTGTTACTGAAGTCCTGGAAAAGCCCTCATGCTTCTATTGAACCGGCCCCTCATCAGTATCTATAGCTGTCCTTGACCAAGAACAAATAAAAACCAGATATGAGAACATACGGAAAAGAAATATTTGAACTTTTACATATGTCATTAAAAACAAACAAATGAAAAAGTCCCTATCAAGTCCAAATACGAGGTGTTTATTACAGCCTGGAAGTTTCGCATGCAGAGCTTTACTAGAATGAATCCCACATACTAAGCACCTTAGTAGAAAGAAGACCCAGAGCTGCAGATGGATTTTGGTGCATCCTCGTATCTTTTCTTGAAGTTTTAAATCAACCTAAGTACTTCAGACACTATTTTTTTTCTGAGTTTCAAAATCTTAATATGTTTATTTCAGTTCAAAACCTTTCTTTATAGACAAAGCTGCTAAGTAATTTCTTGTCCACTTACATTGTTTGCTGGAAAAAAAAAACATTTAAAGGGATAATTCTGTCCCTAAAAGAGTTTCTTCTAAAACTTTGAAATACTGGCTTGCTAACAGAATATACTGTAGCACAGGACACTATGCACTAGGGCTAGGGATGTTCCTATTTGTATGTCTA